TGTAAAAGGACTAGAAAAATATTAGACATTATCATTGAAAGTTATTAATATTTTGGTTAAAGAATTTGAAATAAAATGGAGGGGTGTTATGTTAACAAAAGATGCAATTTCAAAATGAGATTGTGAAAATTATTAATAACTATCAGACACTGTAATAAAGAAATTATTCATGTTGAAGTGAAATTTTTCAAGTTCACAAAACTGATTAGTTACTAGTTCGATGAAGACATGAAATAATATTATTTAGATTTCTGAGATGAGAAAAAAATCATTATTATACACTGATCTATTTAAACTGATGTCCATTTTGGATGTTATAGTAACAATATTTTGCTTATTGTATTCTCTAGCTTTCCTTCTCAGGAATTACTTAGATTTGTCCACTTTTAAAAAAAACAAAAAACAAAAACCAAAAACATATTTTTGCATATTAGTATTCCTTAGACATTCCTTAAGCCACAATATTTATCAGAACCAAAAAATATTGATTTTTTTTTAATTTAGAAGAGGGATTCTGCTCATATTATAAATACAGTGTCAAATCTGTTGGTTCTAATCCATACTGGGAATGACTACAAAATACTTCCTTCTCCCATGCAAATACATGCTGGAGATTTTTTCCTAACCAATAAGATGGGTCACTTCTTGGTCTCATCTGACTCAGTTCCGGTCCTGTCCATATCCACTTTTGTGTGTTAACACCATTCTTAGTTTGTGAACTTTTAGTACCTTATTAATGTTGCTTTGTCTTGCATATAGATTGCTTGCTTAATATTTTTGCCTTGTTCATTTCTTTCTCTTGTTATTGTTAATTGCAAACTTCGTTGATTCTGTTTGTTGAGCATTTCTATGATTTACATTAAACCATGGCCAGTTACTCTACAAAATCAATTCCTTACTTTTTACAGATTTGTTGGACATAGCTATTATTTACAAATATCAATTTTAAAATTGTGCTTACTTGAATGATATATGGATTTTTTTTTTTAAATTTCTGAATTTAAAATTAAAATTTCTTTTTCAGAAGCACATGAACAAACATTTGTGGTTAATAGTTATTTAGCTTAAAGGAAGAATAAACAATTACATACTTTTATTAATTTATGTAAATTTTTGTCCTTTAATAAAAAATAGTTTGTTTTCATACACAAAACAGACATGTTTAACAATTCTGTAAAAAATAAAAAATCAATTTTACACTGTATCAATTTAATGAACAGGACCCCCTTATAAATGATATAAAATAAATCAATATTTTTTCAGTTCTGACAAACATCGTGCCTTGAGAGAAACGTAATTTATTCCCCCATTTTTCCTATTTTTTAAGCAGTTCCTAGTTTTGGTTAGCACATCTAGTTATCTGGTGGCCGAGAGTTCAAATCCCTGGTTCAGATAGTGAAAGTTGTATATTCTTCTTCAGTGTTAAAAGAAAAAGCAGAATCATCAAAATTAATTAATTAGCAAGATGACAGTTATCCCTTGGCATGAACAATGGAGGCACAGTGGAGCTTGGGTTGAGGAATTGGAGAGCCAAGTTCAAATTCCAGTCAAATTCATTACGCTCACTTATGTGCTAATATCTTTGGGAAAAGCATGAATCCATCTTTTCCCCCCTCAGCTATGGGTAAATAGCAGAACAGACCAGGTCGTATAGCCTTGGTTGTCTAAGAGAAGGAAAACTGAATTCAAACCAGCTTGGAGAAAGTTGGGTTCCGACAGGCTGTCTTGCACAGGAAACACCACTACTACTGCAGATGCAGTTCATGTGGTACCCCTATGACTCTAATGGTTTAGGAGGCCCATGATCAAACAGTGGAATAAATAAAATCTTCAATTCAAGATTCTAAGACAGCTGAAGATAGCCATGATTAGATCACCTGAGATGAAGACACTAGTCTAAATAGATCAGTCCATGATAGAAATAATGTGTACTTAAATACTCTCACCTAACAAAGAGTAGAGAAGTGCCACAAAAAATATTAAAGCATTTGTGTGAATGTATAGTCAAAGTTACTTACAGCAATATCTGAGCAAAATTTTCTTCAAAGAATCTTTTTTTTCTGAAGATTATTAAAAAAAAAATTTATTTATGTTTTTTTTTTTTTTTTACATAGGTTCTAAGTGTCAAAATTTCCAGTTGCAACAAATCATATGCTTGTCTCAAAATTATTTTAAAAGGAGATAAAAAAAAAAAAGAAAATTTTTTTTAACTAAACCCATAAAACATTTTTAAAATTAATTTAAAACAAAACTATTCGAAGCAAAATGTTATTTTTAATTCAAATGCCAATAAATATCTAACTTACCTTGAATCTTATCCGAGTCTCAAATATTAGCATAACCAAAAAAATATCCTTTTCAATCTTAATAAACAAATAAAAGCTACCCATCTATTAAAAATGACAAAATAGCAACTTTCAAGCCAAATTTACCGCAACTAAGTGATACGACTGGTTGATGTTAATAGAACAGAAAAACTTTCAGTTCAGGTTGGATGAATATAATTGTGAGTAATAATGTTTGAATCTTTTTTAAAAAGGATGAGTCTGTCTGATGCATAAAAAAAAGCAGACTGTTTTTCCTTCTTTATAATGAAAATCATCTTGAACTTCTTAATAATGTGATACTATGGACACCCATGTGAAAAGGGAAGAAGTGTTTTTATCTTGATGTCATGTTTGATATCCAGCTTCCTTTTGAAGTCTTGACTTCTAAACATTATTCAACTTTAATCATGTTGAGATGAGTAAATGCGCAAGGAGTTGGTAAGGGGAAGCTGTTGAGTTAAGCTGTTAGACCAACATAGCAAAAGTTGTCCCAAGTATCACCTACATATCCACCCAGACAAGAAGGTAAAGCCCTGGATAAAACATTTTATAATATGGGAAACAGAATTTGCATTCTTATTCCTCTCAACATGGAACTTTTTGTTCATCTTGTTGCCTTGTGAGCATACAGCAGAACCTTTCCTAGCTTTCAATGCACACTGAATAAATCAAGAATCAAAATGCAATGTGGGATAATCACTGACTGGCTGGTGGAAAGCTTGGACATAAGTTTGTGTTTTATGTTTACAATAATACATAATAAAAGCTTGTTATGTTTATTCTGCTGGACAGAACACTGAAGGTGCCATGATGTGCAGCTAGAGCAACTGATATTGCTGGGGAAAGTAGAGCAGAGTTCAAATTTGGCCTAGTCTGTTGTGTTCACTTCTGCCCAAATGTCCTTGGGAAAAGTAAGAATCCATTTCCCCCACCCCCTAGCTATGAGTAGCAGGGTAGACTAGACTCTCTAGCCTTGAAAGACAACCAGCCTAATAGAAGAACTGTTTAAAACCATGCTGAAAGCAATAGGAAACCATTCCACTATATTTCCCAAGAAGTCAGGGCAACTGACAGATAAAGAAAAAGGAATCAGTGGATAGCCAAAATTACTTACATCCTGAAGGAACATGGCATTCATGAAAAAAAGAAAAAAGAAAGGCAAATCACAATGTATTCTATTTAAGATCATTTTTTGGTTTCCTTTCTCAAAATTCTCATAAGAATGGCACAGCAGTTTTTAGATCCTATAGGAAAAAATTCAGAATTATATATATTTTCAGTTTCATGATGCAATGTGATCTTTAGAACAAGATTATATTGAGGTGTGCAAGTGACAGTCACCATGCAGTATTTATTTCTATGGCCACACTATGTAAGAGAGAGAGTAAATTGGTTAATTTGAATTGAGTATTGTAATTTGAATTTAAAGATAATGATTGTGTAATCCTGTAGCCTTCAACACACCCCATAAATCTCAGCTCTTAATGGCCAACCCACCCCACATATACTCTACCATAATATTTGACAACATCACTGTAAATAACACAGGAAGTCAAGCAAACACCGAGATTTTGAGAGCCAATATTTAGAGGACGGATTTGAATGTGTCAAATTCTATAAGGTTAAGAGAGATTTGGTTAGTTGATTTTGTTTAGTGGCATATCAGCACCTCTATAATTATTTAATGCCAAAATCTAAATATTTTGAACACAATTCAACTACAGATAAAATGTATTGTGGGTCATTTTGCTTTAAATATGTATTGTTGGTAATTTTACTATAAACAGGTATTATTGATTGGTTGATTTTGTTTAGAGGCATATCAACCTCTATTGGTTATTGGATGCAGAAATCTAAATATTTTGTACATAATTTTATGCTATCAACTATAATTTCATAATTTTATACTTTCAGAGTAAATGTATGTTTTTTTTTTTAGATATATATTTTGTAGATCATAAAATGTATTTTTATATTTCTTTTTTTTAAGTGTTACACTGATTGTCATTTTGCTATAAAAATGTATTGTTGGTCATTTTATTATAAAAATGTACTGCTGCATTTTGTTTGGGGATTCACTATTTTTCCATAGCTGGGACCCTAGCAGGTGCTATAAACTCTGGTCAGGGTGGACCTGGGAACAACAGCAATTAAGAGGTGCTTCCACATGCCTCAAAACCTCCAATTTCCTGATCAGAGGGTTTGCTGCAAGATGTAGTTTATCGTCAGATCCAAGACAGGGTTAAGAGAGACAATATTTGTGAAGATTTAAGTTTTGTGAGTGGAAGATCATTATCCTAACTTATTTTGAGCCATCTTAATTGATCCATCAATTAAAATTTCTCCCAGAAAATCTGTTTCCATTGATATTAAAACTGGTAGGAAATTTATAATTAACATCATCTGTTTTTCAGATTATGACAAGAATGTACTGGTGTTAAAATAAGAAATAATCTCAAGTTTCAAGTTCCTCCAAAAATTGAAGGTTTTTGGGGTTTTTTTTCAACTTGGACACAGAACAAACAAAAAACCCCCCAAAAACAAACAATGTTTGAGTATAGCATGAGAAACTAAAGAGAAGAAACAAAAATTTGAGAATTCCAATTTACAAAGAAAGAAAAAATAAAAAAGAAGCAATTCCTTGTTCGAGTTGATAAATGATTCTACTATTACCTTTTGGAGTTGTGCTCAAGTCAGAGTCGGAGGAGCGGCGCCGAAGTGCTGTACTGGAACATTTAGCAGGTGATGTAGATGATTTGACACCCCCAGTCTGGGTAATATTTGGGGAGGAGGGAGTAATCATGGTGTCTTCGGGAAGAGGAGAGCTGCAAGGGAAGGTAAATATTGAGTTGTCTGCTTCTTGTTCTACTTGTATGTGTTGCGCTACAAGCACAGGTGGTGTGGAACACACGTTTGACGAAGGTTGGGCAAGTGGAGAGACAGGCCACTGGTCCCTGTCCAATGTGTGGAGATGGTGGTTGGATAACTTGGGAGCTGGGGGTGATGGTGGAGGGGCGGCGGAGGTGGGGAGGAGGGGGCGGCGGAGGTGGGGGAGGTAGAAGGAACTGGTGTCAGGATGGAAGTCAACAGGTGGAGGTGGTAAGGGAGGAGGGGGCAGAGGTGGAAAGTGAGAAGGGAAGGTGGGGTGGGAAGTACAGGGGAGGGGGGGCAGTGGGGGGTGGAGGAGGAGGAGGTGGTAGGGGTGGTGGTGGTAGAGGTGGAGGTGGGGGTAGGGGTGGAGGAACCAGTGGCAGAATTGGTAGTATTAGTAGAAGTAGTAGTAGTAGTAGTAGTGTTAGTGTTAGTAGTAGTAGTAGTAGTAGTAGTAGTATTGGCTGCAAGGTTGGTGGTCGATGCAGCTGGAGAGGAGGAGGACCACTGCAATAAAACTGCACGCCTAGGAGATGTGGACGTGGCAGGGGACTGAAATTTCACATGCCGTTTACTGCAACAGAAAAAAGAGAAACAAGAAGACAAATTGAAAGTAAAAGAAACACTGACCAACTCGGTGACATCTCAATATAAACTTCTTTGCTACAAACGTAGTGTACACACCTCAATAGAATTTTTTCAAAGCAACTTCCCAAATGCAAAGGTTTATTTAGTTTATTAATGTTTATTATTAAAGTGGCTTTTGGTGGCTTTCTTTTGCCTCTTTTACACTTGATAAGTGATCTTTGCAAAACCACTGCAAATAAACAGATTTAATAAAATAAAAAAAAATGAAAATGTACACAACTTTTCACATATTAATGAAAAAGAAACCACAAAGATTTATTATGTGAGATCTAATCTTCTATAACAAATTTAAATTATTCTCACATCAGCTTATCCATTCTGTCAAAAATGACTGTAATATTTAAGCAAATTTACATGAGTAATCTTGGATTATCTTCACAATTAACTATATAGTTTCATTCAGAATTCTTTTTCAATCATTAAAAGTAAACATATCCGAAAAAGGCTAACATTACCGGTAATAAAAGAAAACAAGTTGGTCATATTTAAGTAATTTTAAAATTGTATTTTCTGTAGGAATAATCTAATATTTTTAAGTATCCAACTAACTCTATTGTTGTATACAAGAAAGAATACAGCTTTTTAAATCATTAAAACATAAATAAAACATATACAAAAAAATGAAGCTAACATGAAATATAAGAAATAAACAGTAAATATATTAGCAACAGGATTGCATTGTTATGGTCTCATGAAGTACGTTTGTTTATAAGTGTTGCCTCCAGTTAACAATGGCATTACTACAAAGGGGAGATCAGGCTGCCTTATAGATAAATATATAAAGTTACAAACATTCAGAATAATATCCTCATCTTTGTTGTTATTATCACCTGATTGCCTTCTGTCTGAATTTCTGGCATGAGGTATTTTCAATATTTACATTCAGACTAATATTCTCATCTTTGTTGTTATTATCACCTGATTGCCTTTTGCCTGAATTTCTGGCATGAGGTGTTACATTCAGGCTAATATCCTCATATTTGTTGTTATCATGTTTCAATTGTTGTGTACCGCCAGCCTTCTTCAAGTGTGTTGATCCCAGTAAACTTCAGAGAGTTTCAAACTGAGCCCTTTATTTTACCACCATAGATTAAATTGAGTTTGAAATTCCATGAAGAAGATTGCCCTGATTGACCGACACATGAAGAAGGCTAGTGATGATGACAATAAAGATGAGGATGTAAGTCTGAATGTAAATAATGTGAAATAAGTGAAGACTATTTTCTGAAACGATCAAGTTTCCCTGGGAGAAAGTCTACAGGAAATAAAACAAACCTAAAGCTGAACAATAAAACTTTTCCATACTTTACAAATCTAAAAGAAATTGCTTACATTTTATTGTAACTTATTTGATGCATGATGCATTTGATGAAAGACACAAACAATGACTGCAAACAATGACCTGCTCCCCCTTCTGAAGGAAACAGGACAAAGGGAAGACTGAGAACAACATGATGAGGGACTATGGAGAAGGAGAGAGAAGCAATGGGCTGGTGATCCAAGGGTGGGGCAGGAGTGTCAGCTGAAGACAGGATAGAGTGGAGATGTTCCATGGAGGTTTTATGTACCACAAAGCAACAAACAGATAGATATTCCACCATTAAGCAAATATTGGCAAGATTTAGGCAAATCAAACTTTGCTTTACATTTATTTTAGTTTGCACCTATACCAACCATATTGGCTGGGTGAGTAGAATGTTAGCATTCTGACCAATGGATCCAGGTTCAAATCTCCTGTCTTCTCAAGGAGGTAACTTGATAATGTGTAGGAAGTGCTTAAAAACCCTATCACAGGTTATCCCAAGTCTTGTGAATGGAATTGGGTAGATGAAAACGTTCAGAACCTATTGTACTAGCATGAAGTCACAAATCATTGTGACTGAGTGTCTGAGTGGACTAGCCTTATTCAGCTACTGATCATGCCAGAAACAGTAACTAAGGTTCGCTCAGCAAAGTTGCAGTATAATTCACAGGTTAGTGCTGTGTGATGAAAAAACACAAATGTACCTGAGCAGTCACCTGCAACAAGTATTAGCTAGCTATACTAGTGGACACTATAGCCTCTGATGGGTGCTTACTATATCAACAACATGAGACTAAAGAGAAATTTAGGAAAGACCAGTTATAGCTGCTCAAATGACTTCAAGATGCATGTTAAAAACAAACAGTAATTGATTATGAGTGCATAGAAAAAGCCAACAATAATTGTTATAATTCTTGAACAATTTAATAAAGAGAAGTGCTAAAGAACAAAAGCAAACAGTATCAGTTGCAACTTTATTGTTTTCAAATTGAGAGTCTAACAAACCTTTTAATCTGAAAGTACGAAATATTAGTTTGGCCAAAAAGTTTTTTTGATTTATTAAATAAATTTTCTACTCAATAAGAGAACAAACTTTTTGGCCAACCCAATATTTACTGAGATTCAAAATAGATTTATCAAAATATATAGAGATGCTTTTTTCTTTTTGTATCTGAAGAATAAAAATACAGAAATTTCTTTTATTATCTGAATGGTATTTGATTTGGGGGGAAAAAAAAAGATAGCATTACACCTCCCACCTACAGGGAAAAAATTCTATATATAAGCAATTCAAAACTATTCTAAAATTTTAACATTTGTGAAAAAAAGTATAAAAATAAAAAAAATATCAAGAATGATTGAAAAGATATTAATTACTTAAGTGAATTCAATATTATCTGGAGAAAAGTATTCATATTTTTATTTCTTATTACTATAAAAATTTTATTTAGTGGATGCACCTATTTGAGTAGACATTCAACTTTTTTCTTTTTGTTGTTGTTCTTTTTTGAACTGTGTCATTGATACTTACTTGGCTGAGTATTTGAAATTTATAATCTGACCATTATTTCTTATTATGATGAGCATTATATTGGTGGATACATGAGTTGAGTAGAATTCTCTGATTTTTTTATTATTATTTTTTTTTAAAACAATGTAACTGACCAGGGCATTTGAAAGTCTTAAATGTATTTTTATCTAGTATTTATATAAATGAGATAATATTTCTAGAATAAGTTTTACTTAGACTCATTATTTTGATATTAATGAATTTATAGACATTTCTGAGATTTTTTTAGTAAAATTATAAAAATAACACACAAGGAAATTATGAAAAGTTCTCTGCATGACCATGATGCCCTTCCTCACCAAAATCTTGTTTGACCATTTGATCAGATTTTGAGAAATGAATTGTGCCAAGCACTTTTAAGCACCCTCTTATAACTGTAAATGTAAGTTTACAGAAGTAAACAATTATCTAATTAACATTACAAACCAAAATTTTAAATTCAAATAAAAAGAGTTCAACATTTTTAAATTTGTAATTGTGAATGTTTTAAGTTTTAAAATATCTCCAAATTAATGTATGCATCTCATAGAAAAAAAGATTATATTTGTGCTATGCACAAAAGTGAAATATAAATAAAAAATAGTTCCATCCATTTATAGTAGTAGAAACATTTCAATATTAAATTAGACTTTGTTATGATGATGATGATTTCATGTTGGTTTTGATACTGAAAAATTAAAAATTTAAAAGATAACTTTTTGTACAACATTAGTAACTGAAAAAGAAAATTTTAACATATAACTTTAAAAATTAAATTTTAATTTAACTATTTTCGAATTGAAATTATATTTCCAAAATGTTTGAGAAGCTAAAAAATAGCCTCACTTCATGCTCATTTTATAGAACAGAACATTTCTAAAAATATATTTCACTTACACTATTATTAAAAATCAGGTCTTCATAAAGTGCCTAGACATTTTATTTAAGAAAGAAGGTGAGAAAAAAACCTTATCTTTCTATACTAATCTATGTAAAGAAAATTGAAAAAATTTTATTAATAATGTTTTGTATGAGGATTGCTGTATGCAGTAAAAAAGTTGCAGTGAAATAGAAAAGACATTCCATTGCTAGATTTAGTGTCTGATTAAAAGAAAAAGAATTTTAAATAAAAACTGCAGGGTGAATTTAATACAATAACAATGATTATTAATGTTTCATTGAGGCAAATTATTAAAAAGTACACTCAAAGTTTCCATTTTTTTAAAAATAATTTCTTGTTAAAAATTTTTTTCTGGTACTGCCATTGAAAAGGGGAAATAACTCACAATGAATGATGAGAAAAACCTTTTCTCTGTACATAAAAAAAGTATCTCAGCTTCAAATTCCAGTGGTCAGTTTTGGACAATGTATCATGATTTTGTATAATTTCTAAATGAAAATAAATTTTACAGACTCTATAAAAAAAAAAATGGATACTGGTTTGATTTTGAATACACAAAAAACAAATTTAAATTAAAAGACAAAAATTAAAATGTAGATTGAAATATGTACATGCAATAACAGATCAATTTTCTATTAGATTGCCAAATGACTGCAAGAAAAATAGCTTAAATATATTCCTATGGAGAATGTTATACTACAAAATATAACATGTCTTTGGTTATAAATAGATTTTTAAATAAATGTATCAAGTAATTTATGCTTAAATTTTCTATCATAATACAGAATGCGGGAGAAACATCTCCCACATAATGATAAGACATTAGCGAGCTGAAGACACCACTGCCACTAATGCCATACCATTACATGGGAGGTATTTCTGCCACACCCTGTACTTTTCTAATTACTTTTAGTGATTTAACACAAATTTAAGAGACAAAAAAATCACTTTTTTTTTCTTTTTTAAGCATTTCACCCCAAGCAAGGCGGGAAGCCAGGGGTGACAAAAAATTTATAGCAAGATCAGATTGGTCATTGGTAGGGGTAATTCCAAGGAGGACATTAATTCAAAGAGAGCTCAATGTAAGTAACAGAGGAATATAATAAAAGAAAAAAAAGCCTTTGGTCTGAAGAGAGAAATATTTAAATATATTCATGAAATAAATTATAACTAAAATAGATTTTTAAGGGTTTTCATTATATATATATATATATATATATATATATATAAGCACAGATGATCCTTAAACAGCCATTTGGTTATAATTTATTTCATGAATTCATATTTACTCAAAAGGCTAATATATAATAAATATCATCAATCTTATTGCCAATATTATTATTTTGTTGGCTTTTTATTTCTCAAATTTTATTATTTTATTAACTGGCCTATTATATATATATATATATATATATATATATATATATATATAGGTAGGTAATTCCATATCAACCTAACCAATGGTCCACTGGCACCATCTCTGATTTGAAGAAATTTTAGTATGTTGCACCCACCTATGAGAAACTAAAAACCCTGAAATTTTAAATTACTTTGGCTCAATAGTTATTGTCTCATGAATTTTAATGTCAATTTTTGCTGATTTGCATGATTTGTCAAATTTAGCACTTCATAACATTACATTCTAAGATGATAGCAAGTTCAGAATTGGCAGTCCTTTAGTCTAATACACGAAGAAAAAGAACTTGTTATTTTATTTCTATAGTTTTATAGTTATATGCTGCAAAAAATGCTATTTTTTTTTTTGGAGGGGGGTATCACCCATTGAAGCTAAACCATTAGCAATAGAATAAAAAATAAATTTGATTATAATCATCTGATGACTTCTCTTGTAAAAAAAAAATGTGGAAATGTTTGTTTTACATTTTAAATGCTTGTTATATGATTTCTAGGTGATAAAAATTTGCCCGAACATCAAAGGAAAAAAAAATTTAAGCCTTTTTCAAAAGCTTGGCAAGTAATGTAGACAGTTGAATTCAGGATTTATACTTTGTCCAGTTATAGATTCATCTCTTATCTTTCATTCCTAAAAATTAAGAAACCTTTATTTGATGCTAACTTGCTGGCAATTTGATATTTGATGTAGATACCTCAATAAGCCTGCAGCCTAATAATAGAAAAGGCATTTACTCTTAGGTTAATAATGGTGGAAGGGTCACAATTTTTTTACATATGCAATAAATGGGGGCTCTTAAAGGTGGAGTCAGAAAATCATTTCAGTGTCAAAATAGTGGAATTTAAATAAAGAAACTTTTTTTTTTTAAGACAAAAAAACAAAAGACAAAAGAATGGAATGTGGTAAATTTGGAGAGAATAAAAAGAACAATGAAATGCTATTTTTTTTTCTAAACAATGCAATTATAAAAGCATACAATTGATCGATTAATTCATTCATTCATTTTTGATGGCTTATCAACCTTTTGCATGTTATTTAAAGCCAGAAAGTATTCTTAGATTGGAAGAATTTTTATTTTTTGAGATGGTGGTTTTAGTGATACAAATCTTACTAAATAATTAACCCATAGGTGGGGAGAGAAGAGGTGGATTCATACATTTCCCAAAGGTATTTGTGTGTAAGTGAATATAGCAAAACCAACGGGAATTGGAACTCAGCTCTCCAATTAACAATACTGAGCTATTATCCATTACACCACCTGCACATCCAAGTATTTCCAAGCGGTCAGCCATTGAATATACTGACCAGGCCCAATGTTGCTTAACTTCAGTGATTGTATGAGAACCTGTGTTTCAACCATGATGCAGCTGTAAACCATAAAAGCATGCAAGTAAAAACTTGAACCAACTATAATCATTAGTGTTTCTGATTGGA